TGATTAATAAGGAAGAAGGCAAGAGTTATCCAAGTGGCCAGGAATGATCATACAGTCTATTAAGAATATAAGAATGGCCATAATGGGTCAGACAAATGGTCTATCTAGCCCCCATTGCCAATGCCAGGTGCTTCAGAGAGAATGAACAGAACAGGTAATCATCAAGTGATCCATCCCGTCGCCCATTTCCAGATTCTGGCAAAAGGAGGTTAGGGACACTTCAGAGCATGGTTTTGCATCCCTGCCCTTCCTGGCTAATAGCCATTGTTGGACCTATGCTCCATGAACTTATCTAGTTCTTTTTTGAACCCTTTATAGTATTGGCCTTCACAACATCCTCTGGCAAAGAGTTCCATAAGTTGACTGTGCATTGTGTGACGAAATACTTCCTTTTGTTTGTTTTAAACCTGCTGCCTATTAATTGCATTTGGTGACCCTTAGTTCTAGTGTTATGAGGAGTAAATAACACTTTTGGTAGTTCTGAAGGCACTAGTTAGGTCCGTTTCATGTTAACTTCAATTAACAGTCACTGTAGGGTTCATGGAGGCTGCTCCCACATCTGCTATTAGTAAGGCTGTGGCTATCCTAGATACCTACCAACTGATCTATTCCTGTAAACCAGTGATCCTCAGACTGAGGCTCATGAGCTGCAAGTGGCTCTTTAATATGTCTCCAGCAGCTCTTTGCAGCACATGGGATATTAAAGTTGTTAGTTTATTATTCTTAAAGAGTCACTATTAATGGAATGGTGTCAGATTGGAAGGAGGTCCCAAGTGGAGTTCCACAGGGGTCTGTTCTGGGTCCAGTGTTTAACATCTCTGTTAATTACTTGGATGTAGTTTGAAAATAAGACAGTCTCTTATATTAATTTTGCTCCCAAAATGCGCTAGGTCTTATTTTCAGGGGATGTCTTATTTTTCAATGAAGAAGAATACGGTACACATTTTTTTGCCTTATTATCGGGGAGGTCTTATTATCGGGGATGCCTTATATTACAACGAGAGGCAAACTGTAAGTAGGCCTTATTTTCGGAGGATGTCTTATTTTCGGGAAACAGGGTAGTAATAGAGAGCATACTGATCAAATCTGCAGATACCACAAAGCTGGCGGGGGGGAGCTAACACTTTGGAAGATAGAGCTAAAATTCAGAGGGATCTTGATAAATTGGAGAAGTGAGCTATAGACGACAAAATGAAATTCAACAAAGATAAATGTAAGGTGCTACACTAAGGGAAGAAAAATCAAATGCATAAATACAGAATGGAGATAACTTGTTTGCTAGCAGCACTGCTGGGAAAGATTTGGGAGTTGTGGTGGATCACAACCTCCACATGAGTCACCAATGCAATGCTGTTGCAAAAAAAGCAAATGCAATTTTAGGTTGCATTAATAGAGGCATAACATGACATTCATGAGAGGTGATAGTACTGCTCTATTCGGCAGTTGTTAGGCTGGAGTACCATGTCCAATTTTGGTCAACAATGTATAGAAAAGATGTAAAAAAACTGGAAAGGATCCAGAGGCGAGTCATGAAGATGATCAAAGGGATGGGATGGAAACAATATGAGCAAAAGTGAAGGAACTGGGTATGTTTAGTTTGGAAAAGGAGGAGATTAAGGGGGAATATGATAGCGGTCTTCAAATACTTGAAAAGCTGCCATAAAAAAAGATGGAGAAAAGTTGTTCTCTTGCCACAGAGGGCAGGACAAGAGGCAATGGGTTCAGACTACAGGATAGCAAATTTAGATTAAATCTCAGTACAGTAACTCCTCACTTAAAGTCATCCCAGTTAACGTTTAATTGTTATGTTGCTGATCAATTAGAGAACATGCTCATTTAAAATTGCGCAATGCTCCCTTATAACATTGTTTGGCAGCCATCTGCTTTGTCCATTGCTTGCAGAAAGCAGCCCATTGGAGCTTGCTGGTGGGGGCTTGGAACCAGGATGGACTGGCAGCTCCCCGCTCCCGAGTGGCAGCTGCCCAGCGGGCTATCAATTGCTGTCCCTCCCGCCACTGCTGTGTGCTGCTCCTGCCCTTTGCCTTGGAGCTGCTCCTGGGAGCCTCCTGCTTGCTGTGCTGGGTGGAAGGGGGGGGGCGCTAATGTCAGAGTGTCATCCCCCTCCCCCGCTCCTGTGCCTTATCTCTGACTCCACCATCTCAGCCAAGCTTCACAATCATCATTGCTGTGTACAGTATTAAATTGTTTGTTTAAAACTTATACGACGTGTGTGTATGCACAGTCTTTTGTCTGGCAAAAAAAATTTCCCTGGAACCTAACCCCCACCCCCCCTTTACATTAATTCTTATGGGGAAATTGGATTCGCTTAATATAGTTTCACTTAAAGTAGCATTTTTCAGGAACATAACTACAATGTTAAGTGAGGAGTTACTGTAAAAACTTCCTAACAGTAGGACAATTGAATAAACTGCCTTGGGAGCTTGTGGAAGCTTCTTCACTGGAGGTTTTCAAAAGGAGGGTGGATAGCCATCTGTCTTGGATGGTTTAGACCAGGGGTAGGCAACCTATGTCATGCATGTGGCACTCACACTGCCTGGGTCCTGGCCACCGGTCCGGGGGGCTCTGTATTATAATTTAATTTTAAATGAAGCTTCTTGAACATTTTAAAAACCTTATTTACTTTACATACAACAATAGTTTAGTTATATATTATAGACTTAAGGAAGCAGACCTTCTAAAAACGTTAATGTATTACTGGCATGCGAAACCTTTAAATTAGAGTGAATAAATGAAGACTCGGCACACCACTTCTGAAAGGTTGCCGACCCCTGGTTTAGATACAACAAATCCTGCATCTCAGCAGACCAAATAACCCTTGCGGTGCCTTCTAATCCTATGATTAATAAATCAGAATGCTTTTACTATGTTATCAACCAATTAAGTTATCAACTTGCACTAAGTTAAACAACTTATTTGCTGTGAGAATAATAATCACTAAATATTTCCTGTCATACTGTTTAAATATGACTAGTACTATAGTAAATGAAATGATGAATGCACACTACTGTGGCTCTTTTCGGTAATGTTGATTGTTAATTTGGCTTCTGAACCACCAAGATCTGAGTATCACTGCTCTAAGCAATCAGTGTGCTCAAAGTGCACTTTTCTAGACTTTTTGTTTGGAACATGAATGCAAACACAAATTTATTTAACACTTAGGTTTGTACTCAAACTTTCTAAAACTGAAACTAGCCTAAAGGGTAACAGACTAAAAAGATCACAGGAGTTTACAGAACTAAGAGGCTGCATACTGGGTACTGCAATTCCCAACGAAGTGTAAGAATACACTGTGTATGAAAAGCTAATCACCTGTTACACAGCTGCCTAAAAGACTACAGAAATGAGCACTGAGCAGTCACAGCAGGGAACAGAAACATGCATCAGAGAACTGGGGGGGCGGGGGGGAATCCACACAGCACCCAACAACAAATTGCAACGTAACAGCCATACTGGGTCAGACCAATGGTCCATCTAGCCCAATATCCTGTCTTCCAAAGTGGCCAATACCAGATGCTTCAAACAGAATGAACAAAACAGGTATATAAAATCATGAGTGATGTGGAGAAAGTGGATAAGGAAAAGTTATTTACTTATTCCCATAATACAAGAACTAGGGGTCATCAAATGAAATTAATAGGCAGCAGGTTTAAAACAAATAAAAGGAAGTTCTTTTTCACGCAGCACACAGTCAACTTGTGGAACTCCTTACCTGAGGTTGTGAAGGCTAGGACTATAACAGAGTTTAAAAGAGAACTGGATAAATTCATGGTGGTTAAGTCCATTAATGGCTATTAGCCAGGACGGGTAAGGAATGGTGTCCCTAGCCTCTGTCTGTCAGAGGGTGGAGATGGATGGCAGGAGAGAGATCACTTGATTATTGACTGTTAGGTTCACTCCCTCTGGGGCACCTGGCATTGGCCACTGTTGGTAGACAGGATACTGGGCTAGATGGACCTTTGGTCTGACCCAGTACGGCCTTTCTTATGTTCATTGAGCCATCCACCTAGAGTCATCTGGTACAGAAATGGATTTAAATGATAAGTTACATACCTCAATTTTTAGTTTTGCAATTTCATATTTGAGTTCCTTCAGAACTCTTGGGTGAACTCCATCTGGTCCTGGTGACATCTTACTGTTAAATTTATCAATTTGTTCCAAAACCACCTCTACTGACACCTCAATCTGGGACAGTTCCTCAGATTTCTCACCTAAAAAGAATGGTTCAGGTGTTGGAATGTCCCTCACATCCTCTACAGTGAAAACTGATGCAAAGAATTCATTTAGCTTCTCCACAATATCCTTAGCTTTTCTGCAGTGCTCCTTTAAGCACCTTCAGTGTCCAGTGGCCCCACTGATTGTTTGGCAGGTTTTCTGCTTCTGAGGAGTTAAAAATTTTTTGTTAGTTTTTGAGTCTTTTGCTAGTTGATCTTTGAATTCTTTTTTGCCCTGCCCAATTATACTTTTACACTGGACTAGCCATAATTTATACTCCTTTCTATTATCCTTAACAGGATTTGACCTCCAATTTTTAAAGAATGACTTTTTGCCTCTAACCACTTTTTATTTTGTTTAGCCACAGTGACACTTTTTTAGACTTATGTTTTTTTAATTTAAGGTATACATTTAATTTGAGCCTCTATTATGGTGTTTTTAAAAAGTTTCCATGCAGCATGCGGGCATTTCATTTTTGTGACTATCTTTTAATTTCTGTTTAACTAACTTTTCATTTTTGTGAAGTTCCCCATCCTAAAGTTAAATGCTACTTTGATGGGCTTCTTAATAATATTATGGTCACTATTACCAAGCTCTTAGCCCAGATCCTGTGCTCCGCTTAGGACTAAATCAAGAAGTGCCTCTCCTCATCTGGATTCCAGGACTAGTTGCTCCAAGAAGCAGTCATTTATGGTGTCAAGAAACTTTACCTCTGCAACAAGCAGTCTGGTACAATACTTGCTGTCACACAGTGAAAACAAAGAAACTTCCTTTTCTGCATTTATTTACAGAGACTATCAAGGGTTAGGTTACACAGCATCATTTACCCCTCCAACTGGACTTCTACTTATACCACAGCATGCTTCAGGCATAATCCTACAGAATAAGACCAAGAATCAAACCCAGGCCTCAGGAACTGTGAATAGAAACCAGGACACCTGCAAAGTAAGTCTGGAAACTGAACCCATTGCTCTCACGTGAGGCAAGTATTTAAGTTTGAGGATCTGATTCCTTTCTTCAGTGGAATTTCCTCTGTGTCCCAATGTATAGATTCCCCATTCACCCTCTACGATCAAAGAGGGAAGAGAATGCTGCACTACACTGCAGTCCCTGAATGCAGTGAGGCTGCAGCCCCCTCTGGGACCTGGGTAGCTCTGGTCTTTAATATGTCTTCACGGTAGCCTTTCAGAAGCTGATTGAGTAAGGTCTTTTCATTGGCCCTGTGTAGAACTATGAGTGGTGGGAAAGGATTCCCCTTGTATTCAATCACAGCCATCTTGGCCCGATCCAGGTTCTCTCGATTGGGGATCTGAAGCAGTCGTGTATAGTTCCCAGAATGAGACTGGAAACGGGGAGCCAACAGTTTAAACAGCTTATGGATGAGATCTTTCTCCTAGAAAAGGACAGAATGCAGAGGGAACATGCCCACATTAGAGCCTCAGCATGCAGTATCCAAACCCCCTGGGAGACCATACACGTTTTATCATGAGCCATTCCCCCAGTCTCATCTCAGCACTTACTCTCTTCCAGCTCCAAGCACTAGGTCTCAACTGGCACCTTACACGATTGCCAGGCCTGCTGCCCCTCTATCCTCTACAGGTCTGCAAGCCCTTCCCTAGGCACCTAGACTGCTGAGGGGCAGGCACCCAATCAGCTGCTCTCCGTCCCTGAGGACATGTCCTGACTCCCTCCCCCGGGGGTCCGCGCCGTTTCCCGTTCAGGCTGAGCTGCTCGGCAGCGCCGGACTACTCACCGTCAGCCAGAAGTCAGCCATGCGCATGGCCTTCTCGTCCGTGTCTCCCCGCTTGGCGTAGTCGATCAACTGGGGAGAAACGGGGATCGTCAGCCTCTGACTAGGCCGCCGCCGGGAACAGCCCCGCCTCGGCCCCAGACAGATCCGCCGGCCTCGTGCCGGCCCCGCCCCTCCCCTCATCCGCCCTCGGCCCGCGCGCCTCGCGCCGGCTTACCCGCTCCGCGTAGAACCGCATCTCGTCCGCGCGTGACCAGTACGTCTCGATGCGCTCGTGCCGCACCAGCGCCGTCACCAGGTTCCGCAGCATGTCGAGGCGCGAGCGCGGCCCGAGCCCGAGCCGCCGGTGCACGCGGCCATGGGAGATCGCGGCAGCCAGCGACAGTCGCATTACGAGCCCGACTCCGACCGGAAGCAACGGCTGAGGAACCGGAAGGAAGGAAGCCGCTCGAGAGGTGGGGTTGGGGCGTGTCTAAGGCCAGGGGGGGCGGGGTTGATTAGGAGCCGGCCCTGGAGGGAGGCGCGAACCGGACCGCGGCCTCAGGCGAAGGGAGTGGCGCCGTGCTCCGTCCGAACGCGGGCGGCGGGGGCGGCCCCTTCCTGGGACCCGGCCCCTTCCTGGGACCCGGCCCCTGCGGCAGAGTCCGGTGTATGCTGCAAGCGCCCTCCCCGCGGTGCTGTTGGGACTAGCCAGGGCTGGGTCGGTTTGTCTCTGGGCAGGGCTGCGAGCGGGAGACACCCCGAGTCTCTGGGCAGGAGCGGGAACAAGGCGGGAGGCGTTACTGCTTCGCCCTTCCCGCAGCCCCAAGAAACGCGCTGGCGGCGCCCAGGAGCGCGTCTGAAAGCTGCACCCCCGGGCAGAGTGTCACCCTGCGGGCGGGCGGGGAGCCTGGCTATGCACAGGGTGAGGCGAGAGTCAGACGTGGCCGAGGGAGAAGTGCTGGAGAACGCGTACAGTGAATACAACGAAGTGCCCGTTATCAGCTGCTGGAAGAATCTAAGTGGCAATCTGAATGAATTTCGGTTTTGATGTGGGCAGTCTCACCACATGGGAGTCCGAAGGTGGGAGTGTTTGTCTTTAGTTGTTTTCTGGCTTTTGTGTGTGGCTCTCCGGTTGGCCCACCCTCTCAGGATTCAAATAGGAGGAGGATGAAGTTGGCACAAATACAGTTACCTGTTCCAATGAGTTTCCAGTCTTGAAAGAAAAGGTGGGAAGACAATCATTTTGTGCAATTGAATCCAGACCAAATCTCCAATTTGTTAAGTTTGTTTTTAATACTAATCCTCTCCTCCAAAGTATTTGCAACCCTCACGGCTTGGTGTCATCTACAAATTTTATAAGCATAGTCTCCATTTCATAATCCAAGTCATTAATGACAAATATTGAATATTACTGGACCTATGACTGGCCCCTGCAGGACCCCACTAGATATGCCTGTACTGTTTGACAGCAAACCATTGATAGCTACTCATTGAGTATGGTCCTTTAGCCAGTAGCACACCCACATTATAGTAATTTCATCTATGCCACATTTCCGTAGTTTGCTTATGAAAAAGTAATGTGGGACTGTGTCAAAAGCCTTATTAAAATCAAGATATGTTACTCGAATAGCTTCCCCCCATCCACTAGGCCAGTAACCCTATCAAAGGAAATTAGGTTGGTTTGGCCTGCTGTTCTTGACTAATCCATGCTGACTACACCTTATAACTCAGTCAATTTGTAAGCATCTAGAGGCTAACAAAGAATTCGATCCAGTATCTTTTCAGGTATTGAAGTTAGACTGGCTGGTCTATAATTCTCTAGATCCAGTTCTCTGGGACTTCAGCCATCCTCCTCAAAGATAATTGCTAATGGTGCAGAGATTGCTTCAGCTAGTTCTCTAATTCCCCTAGGATGAATTTCACCAGGCTTTGCTAGCTTAACTAGATCTAATTTATCTAAGGCTATGTCTACACTGGCAATTGAATGACTAAGCTTTTCTTTCAGAGGTGTTAAGCCCCTCTCCCCCCAAAAGACAAATGTTTTTCTGTGACAAGTGCCAGTGTGAACAGCCCCCAAAGAGAGGGTCTCCTGCTGACAAAGTGCTGTCCTGTCCACACCAGCAATTTTCGTCAGTAAAACTTTTGTCAATCAGGGGTGTTTTTTTTCACACCCCTGAATGACAAAAGTTTTACGGACAAAAGTGCAGTATAGACAAAGCCTAAGTATTCTTTAATGTGTTCTTTCCCTATTTTAGCTTGCATTCCTTCCCCTTATTAATATTGTGTTGAGTAGTGAAGGCTAAAGCAAAATAGGCATTAAATACCTCAGCCTTCTTGATGTCATCAATTATTATCTCTCCTTCCCTGATAAGTAGAAGACCGACACTTCCCCTTGTGTTTCTCTTGCTCTCAGGGGAAGATATGGCTACTCAGACAATTTATAGAGACATAATTTAAAAAAAAATTGACAGTTTCGCCTCCTCCCATCACAGTCACTACCAGGCACAAGTCTTGATCTCCTCAGCTCCCCAGCAATGTGGGATGTCCAGGCTGCTGAGGTCCACTTCTTCCAGCTCCTCCTCTGGTTAGGGCTCCTGGAATGCTCCACTGACCAGGAAGAGTCCTCTGCAAACACAGCAAATAACCCAAGAAAAAGTCACTGCTGCCCAAACCTGTGTTAAGAACATAAGACTAGCCATACTGTGTCAGATCATGGTCCATCTACCCCAGTATCCTGTCTTTCAACATTGGACAGTGCCACATGCAACAAAGAGAATGAATGAAACAGGGCAATTTATCAAGCGATCCCTCCCCTGTCATCCAGTTCCAGCTTCTGGCAGTCAGAGGTTTAGGGACACCCAGAGCAGTGGGACGCATACCTGATCATCTTTGCTAAAAGCTATTGATGGACCTATGCTCCATGAATTTAGCTAATTCTTTTTTTGAAACCAGTTATACGTGTGAAAGCCAAAACATCTCCTGGCAATGAGTTCCACAGGTTCACTGTGCATTGTTGGAAGAAGTATTTCCTTATGTTGGTTTTAAACCTGCTGTCTACTAATTTTATTGGGTGCTCCCTGGTTCTTGTGTTATGTAAAGGGGTAAAGAACACTTCCTTATTTGCTTAGGGTTAGTGTTTAAGGTTTAGGGGTTGGGGTGAGGGTAGGGATAGGGTTTAGGGGTTAGGGTTGGGGTAGGGTTAGAGTTAGGGTTGGGTTTAGAGGTAGGGGGTAGGGTTAGGGTAGGGCTAGGGGTTGGTTAGGGTTAAGGGGGAAGGTTAGGGTTGGATTAGGGGTTAGTGTTGGGTAAGGGTTTTGGGGTTGAGGGTGGGGTTAGCGGTTAGCGTTTAGGGTTGGGGTAGGGTCAGGGTTAGAGGGGAGGGGTAGGGTTAAGGGTGAGGGGTGAGTTAGGGTTAGGGTTTAGGGGTTCGCGTTAGAGTCAGGGTGAGGGTCGGGTTAGGTTAGGGTGAGGGTAGGGGTGACGGTGAGGGGTTGGGGTTAGGGGGTACAGTTAGGATAGAGTTAGGGTTATGGTTGTTGGGGTTAGGGTTAGGTTGTGGTTAGGGGTAGGGTTAGGGCTAGGGGTTAGGGTTGGGATAGCGTGAGGGTGAAGGGGTGAGAGGGTTGGGGTAGGGTTAGGGTCAAGGGTCGGGTTTAGGGTTAGGGGTGAGGGTGAGAGGGTTGGGGTAGGGGTTAGGGTTAGGGGTAGGGTTGGGGGAGGGGGAGGGTTAGAGTTGGGTTAGGGTTAAGGTTAGGATGGGTTGGGGTTAGGGTTTGGGGTCAGGCTGAGGGTCAGGGATAGGGTTAGGGTTAGGTTAGGGTCGGGTGGGTTAGGGTACGGTGAGGGAGAAGGGTTAGGGTTTAGGGTCCGGTTAGGGGTAGGGGTCTAGGGTCAGGGTGAGGGTTTAGGGTTGGGGTTAGGGTGAGGGTAGGGTTAGGGTCAGGGGTGAGGGTTAGGGTGAGGTTGGGTTAGGGGGTTAGGGTTTGGGTTAGGGTTAGGGTTGGGTAGGGTCAGGGTAGGGTCAGGGTGAGGGTAGGGGTTAGGGTTTGGGGTTAGGGGTCAGGGTGAGGGTCAGGTTGGGGTAGGGTTAGGTTAGGGGTAGGGTCGGGTCAGGTGGGTTAGGGTAGGTTAGGGTTGGGGTTAGGGTACGGAGAGGGGTAAGGGTTAGGTTAGGGGTAGGGGTGAGGGATCAGGGTTTAGCGTGAGGGTTTGGGTAAGGGGTTAAGGTTTAGGGTCGGGTTAGGTGTAGGGTTAGGGTAAGGGTAGGATAGGGTTAGGGCTTAGGTTAGGGTTAGGGTCAGGGTGAGGGTTTTGGGTTAGGGTGAGGGTAGGTTTAGGGTCAGGGGTGAGGGTTGGGGTGAGGGTTAGGGTGAGGTTAGGGTAGGGTTTGATTAGGGTTAGGGGGTCTTGGTTAGGGTCGGGGTTTCGGTTAGGGGGTAGGGTCAGGGTTAGGGTAGGGGTTAGGGTCAGGGGTTAGGGTCTAGGGTTAGGGTAGGGGGTCAGGGTTTAGGGTGAGGGTAGGGGTGAGGGGTTAGGGTCTAGGGTCTGTGTTAAGGGTTAGCGTTGGGTTAGGGGTCTAGGGTCAGGGTTTAGGGTGAGGGGTTAGGGTTTAGGGTCGGGTGAGGGTGAGGGTAGGGTTAGGGGTTAAGGTTAGGGTTTAGGGGTTGGGTTTAGGGTTAGGGTTAAGGGTTAGGGTTGGGTGAGGGTGAGGGGTTAGGGTAGGGTTTAGGGTTTGGGTTAGGGGTGGCTTAGGGGTAGGGTTAAGGGTTAGGGTGGGGTTGGGGTTAGGGTTAGGTTACGGTTAGGGTTGTTAGGGTTGGGGTTGGGGTAGGGTTAGGGGTAAGGGTAGGGGTTGGGGTTTAGGGGTTAGGGATAGTGTAGGGGTAGGGTTGGGGTTAGGGTTAAGGGTTAAGGGTAGGGTTAGGAGTGAGGGTAGGGGTTGGGGTTAGGGTTAGGGTCAGGTTGAGGGGTTAGGGTGAGGGTAGGGGTGAGGGG